CCCCAAAACCCCAAAACCCCAAAACCCCTTTTTATATGAAAGATATTGAATATTGTAACTGCTCAAGAATTTATTGGTTGCAAAATTTCTAATAGTAATTTAGAGTTGGTTACTTAAGAAAATGTTTAATGAAGTTCCTTCTAGAAATAAGACCATCAGCTGTGATCTTAATCTTTCTTGGCAGAATTCATTGCTAGTATCCAAACCTTCAACAGTTTCATATCCTCCTAATTTGGTTGTACATGGTGACGAGAAGATGAGATCATCTGGAATGTCGTAAGAATTTCTTAGAGAATAAATTAATTTAAGATTTATTGAGGATCTTGCTGGCTGAAATTGATACCCACTCATCTCTAGTTCCATGAGTCCAATCCCTCATGTTATCTAAAGCAGCAGATTCTGCAGAGACTGTAGAAGATAGTTTTCTGGCTTGAACAATAGTAGCTCCTCTCTTTTGAACAGCTGGGGTGAAGACTTTTCCCATTCATTATGGATCAGATAACTGGCTACTGCTCTAGCAGCTGCTGTATTTTTGATATCTGGGAACATAGTTGGAAAATGATTCAATCAAGAATTTTCTTGGTATCAGTAATGTTGTTTCCTTTTTAAAAAGCAATCGAGCTGAAACTCTAATATGGTCAAGCCTAGTAATATCTTAAAAAATTCTTATTGGTATCTGACGAATAATGAGGGAAGATTAGACAGTTTGCTTTTGTTAGATTTTCTACAACAATAATCTTAGAATCTTTGCTAACATTGTCGTTAATAGCTTGCCAGATACCAACAAAAATTTGGCCATTATCCTTAAATAGATCACCTCTCCTTTTCTGGCTCTCTTGAATTGGGGCCGACGAGCAAAGCATAATCAGTATCTTTAGAGCGACAGAGTAATTCTAAATATAGAAAACTTTATAAAAGGATGTGAAATCCCAATCATGCAACTCCATTTAAAACTCCTTTTAGACTATCTTGCACAATTCGAACATCAAGGATTTCAATTTCACTCTCTAATCAGGCTCCAAGAAAGCTCCAGAAGCGATTCTGAATACAAGAAAGTAGGAAATCTGTCATGCATCTCCAGTTACAGTAACCCTCTTTATACCAGAAGTAAAGGCTTTGTCTCTAAATCGTTTAGCTCTTCCAATTCCAAATTTTAATCATGCCTGATATGAATAATTTCTAAATTATTTTTAAGCAATAAATAAAAAATCTAAGGGGTTTTGGGGTTTTGGGGTTTTGGGGTTTTGGGG